ATGTTTTTATCTGTGGTTTTTCCTTCCTGAGTTTTAGTGTGGATAGTTTTGACTGCTGTCTTTCCAAGCAGCAGTCTTCACTGATCTTCACTTCTGCTTTTGTTTGCTTTGGTTGACAGCTGACCATGTTGCTTTGGGGGAAGGTTCAGGAGCTCTCAGTGAGACACATCCTCCTCTCTGTCACAAGTGCCAGGCTGCTGGATGGTGCTGGCCCCGCGGATGCCGGGAGCACGCTGTCCTGCAGTTTCTGGTTGGCTGCTGCGGTGCTGCGGTGGGGGGGGGGGGGGCTTCTCGCCTTCCTGTCAGCGCGGCAGGTAGTGGAGGGGACCTGGGGCTCCTCGTCTCACGGCGAAATGTCCCATTGCAGGGCAAGGAGCTCCGGCCCTCGGTTTACCGTGCTCAGGCCTCTCTCTCTGTCCACTGGGGCGGTTCTGTGCCACTGTCACGTGCAGGCACCCAGAATGTGTGCCCAGTGCAGCGGGGCTGAAGGAGTATGGGGGTGGCGGCTCTGCATTTTTATTAGGTGTGTTTGCTCTCTAGATGCTGTATCTTTGAGCTCCAGGAACTCAGTTTTTTTTTTTTAATTGTTATTATCATTATTTTTGTACCTTCCTTCTCCTTCATTGTATTCTGGTCTGAGCGGGAAGTGTCTGAGGACTGCACTCCTAGACCTCCCCTTCTCAGGACTGTGGCCTGCTCTCCCTGCTGACTAGTGTCTAAAATGCTTGTTACCTATATTCTGCCCTCTTTAAAAAGTTGATAATATTGGGACCAGAACAAATCTGGTATCAGTTACTCTATCGCGGTTTAGTCTTCATTTTGGGTTGTTCTTTTTTTCAATATGAAATGCTTTGCAACAGGGGTTTGTAATTTGACCTATCCCTGCCTTTGCTTTTTTTTTTTTTTTTTTTTTTCTTTTTTTAAAACAAGGTCTCATTGTGTAGCTCAGGCTGGCCTTGAATTCACTGTAGCCCAGACTGGCCTTGAACTCAAAGTGATTCTCTTGCCTGAGCCTTGTGGAATGGTAGGGTTATAGGTATACACCACAATGCCTGGCTGCTTTTTCTTTTTGTTTTCTTTCTTTCTTTCTCTCTTTCTTTCTTTCATTTTTTGGGCTTATTTTTGCTATTTGTTATTGTAGTAAAAAATACTTGACATAAAATTTACTCTCCTCACTTTTTTTTTCTCAGAGAGAGGGAGAGAGTCAGAGACAGAGACAAGGGAGCCTGGTGATTGAACCCAGGGCCTTTGCACTGAGTTACATCTCCAGCTCTTTTGTATTTGGAGACATGGCCTTACTCCATCAATGATTTGCCCAGGCTGGGCTTGAGTTTGCAATCCTTCTGCCTCCCAGGGCGTTGGAATTGCAGTCACGTGCCACCACTCCCATCTTTTAACTATTTTTGAGCGTACATTTCAGTAGGATTAAATATATTCACACTGTTGTTCAGCCACCACTGTTTTCCCTCTCCTCCACTCTTTTCATCTTATAAAACACAAATGCTAGACCACCAAGTAATAATTCTCCATTCTCCACCAGGTGGGACGGTGCAAGCCTGTAATCCCAGCACTCAAAGGCTGAGGTGAGAGGAACCATAAAATTTTGTCTTGTGGCAGCTGGTGTATATCACTTAGCCTGGCTCCACGTTCATCCGCGTTATAGTACGCAGCAGGCTTCTCCTTAACTCCAAGGCTGGGTAATATCCCATTGTGTGTGTATTCTCTGATCCATCCACAGATGTTTCTCCAGATTTTAGCCATTGTGAAGGATGCAGCTCTGAGTAGGAAAATACAAGGATCTGTTTAAGATGTTCCTTTCCACTCAGTTCCTCTCACTATCTAAGTAGACCTAGAATTGCTGAGTTGTGTGGGAATTCTGTTTTCATTGAGAGGAGCTGCTGTGGTGTTTTCCTCAGTGGGTGCACCACTGGGCATCGTCACCAGTGCTGTGTGGAGGCTGTAATTCCCCTACACCCCTGTATTAAACACACTGTGTGCAATGAAGCACATGGCTGCGCTATTTTTCACTGGTTAGGAAAACGCTTCCTCATCACTCGTCTTCACATCCCTTGACATAAGGTCGTACTGACTGCAGAAATTCTCTGCTTCCCTAGCTGCATGGACATGACAGCACCTGGGCAGCCCTTGCCTTGATGGTACACATCTGGATGTTCACACGGGCTCTCCAGAGATGAGTGACAGGGGGTGGATCCTGGTACAGTGGTCCAGATCCTGCCCCTGGGTTTCCCAACAGTGGAACACAGTATTTTCTGGCTTTTCATAGTCACCGTCTTAATGGGTGTGAGATAGTATCTCATAATTTTTGGTGGGTCAGCCTGCTTTTTGTCCATATATTTTGGTTATATTTCCATTAAATTTTTAATCTTTTTTTTTTTTTTTGGTGTATCTTTTTAAAAAGCAGAATATGGGTTTAGGCCAGGGAGCACTGACTTAGATATGTGATCTCCTCCCTCTTTTATTTTATTTTTAAAATTTTGACACAAAATCTTGCCTACAATGCCTCAACATGTGACCCTCCAGCCTCAGCCTCTCTAGTAGCTGGGATTACAGATGTATGCCCTGGAAGCTGGCATGTCATGCTTTTTAGATAAAAGAGTACATTTAATTTAATTTATTTATTTATTGTTCATTTGTTTGTTTGTCTTTTTGAGACAGGGCCTCACTATGCAGTTCGGGCTGATCTTGAACTCACTTTGTAGCCCAGGCTGGTTTCAAATTTGCAATGATCTACCTGCCTCAGCCTCCCAAGTGCTAGGATTACAGGAGTGTACCACCTTGTAAAAATTTAAAGAGAACAGAGAATGAGAATAATCTTGGATTTCAAAAACAAGACAGTAGGGAATCAACAATAGTTGCTCTTATATTGCATACTGTTATCCTCTATGTAGTTGCTCAGACTACCAGGTATAGGCCTGCAAAGTCAATCAAACAATCCAAGCCCTAAGTTGTTTCTTTACTCCAGTTGCTATCATCTCAGAAGTTTCAGGTGTGTGGTTTCTAATAATTCTCCTGGACTTGTCTGGGTGGGCCGGAAGTCCATGAGTGCGCCCTGCTTCTTTCCCATGTTCCTCCGAATCAGCGTGGGTGTTTCCTGCACTGGCTCCCCACCCCATGGTGCAGGGTTTGGGCTGGTCAGAGGCCCTGGGGTAGAGGAGAGGTGCGGGCAGTGGCCTTCCAACACTCCCTGGCTGTGGCCTCTTTTCTTCCAGGCCACAGTGGTGGGCTCACTGATAGAGTGTGGCTTCCTGGGCCCACAGTGGGCGGCTCACTGCAAGGCATGGTTTCCTCTCCTCCCTGCCTGCAGCAGAGGGCTCACTGGGGTTGTGGCTTTTTCTTAGCCCGCTGCAGGGGGTTCACTGGGGGTGTGGCTTCTCCTCTGGTCCAAATGGGGCAGGCTCACTGGGGGTATCATATTTGGTTTCTTTTTAACCTGACAATGAGTTTTTTCACTAAAGGATCTAAATCTGTTACATTTATTGTTTTTTTTTGTTACATTTATTGTTATTATTTAATTTTTTTTTGACAAGCTGGGGATTAAGCCCAGTATCTTTTGCTTGCTAGGCAAGTGTTTCACTGCCTCATTCCTTGTTATTATTGTTACTGTTACTGATGTGGTTGTTTTCCCTTTCTTTTTCTTATTTTCTTTCTTTGTTTCTTTGTTTCTTTCTTTCTTTGTTTTTCATTTTTTGAGACAGGCTACTCTTGAACTCACTATGTAGCCCAAGTTGGCCTCGAACTCCAGGTGATTCTCCTGCCTCAGCCTCTCGAATGCTGGGATTATAAGCGTGTACCACCACACCAGATGTTTTTTTAAAGAGAGCTTTGCTATGTAGTTCAGGGTGGCCTTGAACTTACTGTGCAGCCCATGCTGGCTTTGAAATTGAGGCAATCCTCCTGCCTCAGCATTTCAAGTGCTAGAATTACAGTTGTGTACTACATGCCTGGAAGTTCTTGTTTTCAATATCATGAAATTTTCTTTTCAGTTTTTCTCTGTGAAAGTGTCTTTTCTGTGATTTGGAAAGCAGGCAGTGTTCTTATTATAAAGAACACTACTTTAAAGCTTTCAAAGATGTTCCTAAGCAAGATCACATAAATAGAGAAATAAATAAAGTACACTGTAGAAGTTATTAACAGGAAAAAAATTTACTTAGTTCCTTTCTGCTGTTTTTTTGGTAATGTAACTGGGTAGAGTTCAGTGTTACAGTTTTGTTTTGCTCTTTTTCTCCTTTGCTCTTTGTTCTTTGTCTCCTTTGGAATATCTCTTTTAAAAAACAAGCAAAAAAAAAATGTTTTATGAGACAGGGACTCCTTATGTAGCCCTGGCTGATCTTGACTATGGCAGTCCTCCTGCCTCAGCCTCCTAAGTTCTAAGATTGCAGGAATGTACCACCACAGCCAGTTACCTAAGTGTTTTTAGTTAACGTTCTTCTTTGCTGGTTAGATGACTTCTGTTCTGTTTGGTTCTCACTTCTGTGTACAGGAATCTGTGTTGTGTGTGTGTCCTGATGCTATAAATGATGTTTGCATTACAATTACTGCAGGACAGAAAAGATATGGCTAACATTCTTGTTTGTTTTTATGTTATAAGCCTGATGGATAGGTGATAGAGGGTGGATGGGAATGGTCCTGGTAGCTTCTCTTTATGGTTGTTGTTGTCACTGTTATTTTGAGGTAGGGTCTCACTGTGTCGTTCAGACTGGCCGGGTAGCCGAGGCTGGCCTTACACTCATGCTGATCTTCCTGTTTCTGCCTCCCGAGTACTGGCATTACAGGCATGCACCACCTGCCCTGTCTCCTCTGGCAGCTTCTTACAGACAGGCAGCTGCCACCATGCTCAGGGGTCTGCAGGACCTGCTTTTCCAAACAGTCCAGGCTTCAGAAAGCCCAGGAAGTACCCTGGGAACTGTCTCCTCTGCTTGCCACCCGCCGAGGCTGTGTAGGCCTGCGGTAGAACGTGTGATGTCTGTGCATCTCCCCAGGGTGTCTGTGAGGAAATGACCTACGAGGAAATTCAGGATCATTATCCACTGGAGTTTGCCCTGCGGGACCAGGACAAGTACCGGTATCGCTACCCCAAAGGGGAGGTAGGTGGGTCAGGGGACGCAGTGCTGGCACCTGCTGCCTTCCTAGGCTGAGGGCTTGGGTGTGTCTGAATGTGAGCTGAATTGAGTGGCCCTGGCTTTCCTTGCACTCCGGGGGTAGCTCAGCGTCGGCTGGCATTCCCAGGCCAGCCCTCCCCAGGGCACTTCAGTGGCCAAGGAACTGGGATGTGGTGCCAGGCCTGAGATTCAGGAGTGGCCTGCCTGTGTCCCTGCCCCAGGCCTTCATCTTTCTTCTGAATGCTCCCCTTGCCACACAGTGTCCTCCGTGCAGCTTCAAAGTCACGAAGTCTGGGTTCTAGACCCAAGGAGACCTTCCCCAGACAAATTGCAGCCACCACAAGCAAGCTGCCCTTGTGTCCTTTCCTCAGACAGATGCCTTGGTCAGCCAGGCCCAGGTCAGGAGCCAGGGTCCCACTGACTCAGGCGTCTGCTCTCTCTTCTGGGAGCTGGACTTGGACAGTGATCAAGTAAAACTCCCCCTAGGGGAACTGAGAATGTGGCTCAGTGGTAAAGGCCTTGCCTATGAAGCAGTGTGTCGATGCTATAGCCTGGTTAAGAGGACGGGACACGCTCAGCTCAGCTGCGGAGCCTTGTTTTGAAGGGCTGCACTGTGCATAGGGGAAGGAAACTTCCCTCACAGGAAGGCCCAGTTGTCTGGTAAAAGAAATATATCTAAATCTGCCAGCTGAAGTGTAGCCCCGGGACCAGTAGAGGTCCAAGTGCATGTTACCACGGCGATGGGGAGGGCACCCCACAGGGAGACTGTGGTTTTCATGAGGACCTTGGATATTTCTGACAGTCCAATTTCAGGAAGCTCTGTGACTTCTGATTGCCTCCCCACTGCCCCTCTTCACCCCGTCTGTGTTTTCCAGAAGCCACTGTCACCAGTACAGGAAGTTCATACTGGAGGGTTTGGCACAAAATTCCTGGGTGGGCAGGGTGGGAGCCTGAGGCTAGGTCCTTCAGTCCTCCCAGATGTGACTCTAGGAGCAGGGAGGGGACCCTTTCTTAGGTGGTCCATCCTTATAGTCAGCAGCTTCCTCATCAACCCAGACATCTCATAGTGTCAGTGTCCTAGGACAGCTGGCCACATGTCCTGAGTGGGGGGATGGCCCACTGTCCAGGGTGCTTTCGTTTCTACCCCTGGAGCCAGCCGTAGGGACACCTTCCCTTTTTGCCCTTGCAGTCCTATGAGGACCTGGTGCAGCGACTGGAGCCTGTCATCATGGAGCTGGAGAGACAGGAGAATGTGCTGGTCATCTGCCACCAGGCTGTGATGCGTTGCCTCCTGGCCTACTTCCTCGACAAGGCGGCAGGTGAGAGCCTTGCCCTGGGGAGGTGGGGTGCATGTGTATGTGTATGTGTACGTGTACGCGCAAGGGAGTGTACCTCACTGAGCATGCCCTGCTCATCAGCGCTCCCTTCCTGTCCACAGAGCAGCTGCCCTACCTCAAGTGTCCACTGCACACAGTCCTGAAGCTCACGCCTGTGGCCTATGGTAAGGGAGCCCCTCATGCACTGACCCTGGGTCACTATGACCCTGTCTGTCTGCAGGGTCCCAGGCCTTTTGACAAATCCCGGTCAGTCCCATTGGACCCCCCTAACTACTCTTTCCAATGTGCTTTCTAAGTTGGTGATAAAAAAATTTACATGTTTGGGGTGTAGCTAAGTAGAATTCACACCTTAGTGTGCATAATGCCCTGTGTCCAGTGCTGAGCACCACAGATGAAAAGTTTATGTGACTATAGGAAGCCCCCAGGGGGCCATTCTCACCTGCACATGGGGCTTTCCTACTGTTGTTTCTGAAACCTCCACAGCACCAATGGCTCCCAGGGCTGGGCCTTAAACTATTCAGGGTACAGGGCAGTTTGTGTCCACATGGTCTCCCACTACACCAGCGGAGACCTCAAGCAGCTTCCTGACCTTTGGGAGACACGAGTGGTCATGGGACGCTGTAGCTCGATGACACCTGGTGTTATTCCATGGTACAGTAATCCCTGCATGTCCTGCGTCCTCTGGGCAGTGAGCATTCAACTCAACCCAGGCTGAGAGTGGTTGGATCTTGTGTGTCAGGCTGGGGATGTTGGTGGCTTTGGGTACCAAGATTAGTGTCGCCATGTTGAGCAAGACCTATTCCTGCCCTGAGCATCTGCAGTTCCTGGCATGGGTGGCTTGGGGGTCTGTGATTGCACGGTCACCCTCCCTCCCTCCCTTCCTTCCTTCCTGGGGCTGCTTGAGTTGAGGGGCCAGAGTGCCAGTGAGTAGCCCCCCTTATCTAAAGCCCCAGCCTGCTGTGTCTGCTGTGCTTAGGCTGCATGCCTGGGTCGCACTCGACTTGCCTCTTCCCTTTGGCAGGTTGTAAGGTGGAATCCATATTCCTCAACGTGGCAGCCATGAACACGCACCGGAACAGGCCACAGGTAGCAGGGGGGTCCTCACTGGGTGCAGGCCTTGCCTGGGGGGCTCAGACTCCACACCTGTGGCTTTTCTCTTGGAGCTTTCCTCTTTCTCGAGCCAGAAGGAGCAGGAGTTTTCTGGCAAGGCTTTGCTCTGCCTCAGCAATCTGCTGTCTGGCGGGCTGAGCTCGGTTAGGTGCTCCAAGGCCAGCTGCCTGCAGGTGGAGGAGGTCTTTGATGCTGGGCCACTGAGGGAGTCAGAGCCTGAGCCTGGGTATGGTTGACTCCCCTGCAGTATCACCATGGAGGTCTGACAAAGAGGAGGTCTCCACTGAGGAAGAGGAGGAGGATCTCAAGGGGGGAATTTTCCATACATGCCACTCCAGCCTGGACATCACAGGCACCTTTTCTAATAGGGACACTTTACAACATTAAAGTGATATCATTGGGCATGCAATGCCTGTCATCCTAGCTCTTGGGAGCTGAGGCAGGAGGATTGCTGTGAGTTCGAGGTCGGCCTGAACTGCATAGCAAGATTGTCTCAAAAAACCAAAACAAAAAAAAGTTACCATGCCTTGTTGGAGATGTTTTTGCAGAAGGGTGTTTGCTGCCTGTGTTGTCTGAGGTCCTTCCTTTTTTGTGTTTTGATTGTTTATGTTTTGACCTTTAACCCTTAGCAGTCCTCTTGCCTTAGCCTATCGAGTGCTAGGATTTTAGGGGTATACCACCATGAGTGGCTCTGAGGGCCTCTTTCAAGACAGAGGCTCTTGAGGTTCTTCCCAGAACCACTGCCTCACCTTGCAGCAGAGTGGGCGAAGCCTGGCTTTGGGTCATGCCTCGCCTATCTGCAGTGGAGCACCCCTAACTCTATCCCATCATCTGAGTACCTGCCGTGTGCCAGGAGACCATGGCCCTGCACTCTTAGGTCAGGGCTGAGACCCTGTGGCTCAGGCTCCAAAGATAGGCTGTGGCCACAGAGGTAAGGAAATATGTAGCATGTGTCTCACCTATTTCTGCTACAGAAAGAATGTTCTGTGTTCCTATCATTGTGCAGAATGTGGACATCTCTCGGCCTCCAGAGGAAGCCCTTGTCACAGTTCCCGCTCACCAGTGACCACATCTCATCCACTGTGAGGCCTGGACGTGTATAGATCTCTGTGGATGAGGTCATTCCAGCCCCCCACCAGAGCATACGACAGTGACCTTACAGGAATACTCAAAGCTGTGTATGGTTGGCAGCACCCTGAACCCCTGGCGAAGGCCATTTGGATCCTCGATGATAGGGACAGGGTTGACTTGGCTGCTGACTTGCTTTTAATAATCCCCAGGCCAGATAGTGCTGCATGGGAGGGCAGGAGTGCCAGCCACGAACTGCTGTGCTGCCTCTCTCAGGTGGTCACTTTCCGGAGGCCAGCTGGCTTTTGGAGCATATAGCCCTGAATGTGAAAGGGAAAAGTCTCCCTGAGAGGTCCCCACTGGAGCCCGCTGCCTGCAGTGGACCCTGCGAGCCTCTCCTCTCCTCTCTGGGGCTCCATGCTGAGCCAGTGGCCAGGTCTTTATGGGACCCTGAACCTCTGCTGCTGTAGGTGACAGGGAGAGTCCTCCTTGAGCTTCCTTGCCAGGAACCAAGGAGTGGCAGCCACTGGCTAGGCCCTGAGACTGTGCCACTCCAGCGTGTTCTGAGGTGGAAGAAGCACATGTGGGGGTGAGGAGTGAGGGCGGCACTGTGTCCCCCCTTCTTGACTGTGCATGCACTGGATTGGGAGGATCCCGTTCCCAAATGAGAGGCTCACAGTGGAGCCGCACAGACAGGGCAGCTGTACACAGGCAGGCAACCAGGCAGCCTCTGCTGTGGCTGCCTTGTCTACAGAAATGGCCCAGGAATGTACACTGGGTCCAGAGATGTGCATTCACTGGAATGCTGCTGAAACCCCATGGTGGTCCCAGAAAACCTGTGCCTGTGTTTGTTGGCCTCTCCCTGTGGGACTGTGGAAAGGGTAGAGCTCAGAGAGGACCCCTGACTAAGGGAGGATTTCTCTAGCTCTGGTAACAGCTTGGGTTGTACATGTGTGAGCCAGGTGAAAATGGCCTTACAAAGCCTGGTATCTGTGCTGCCCCTGAGTGCTTTCAGGTCCAGGCAGTTGGTTCTGGTTCCAGTTCAAAGCTGGACACCAGACCAGCCAGTATGTTGTGGACTGGGGCCAGAGAATACCTAGACTAGAAGTTGAGGCCCAGCTGTCCACAGGTGGCTTTCATGGAGTTGGGCCTCTGGTTCAATCTCACTTGGTACCAGAACCTTCCTAGGCCTGTTCCCAGCAGAGCAGCCAGAGCTTTGCAGGCTGCCACCTGTCCCCAAGGAAAATCAGGACACCCGTCCCCAGCCACTGCCCTCTCGTTTCCACTCACTACCTAGGACAGGGCTGGGGTGGGATCTTCCTCCTGGAGTCACCTGTCTGAGCTCCGAGCCCCACCCAGGATCACAGGCCACACATCTGGCTTTGGGACATGGGGCTGTAGCCTTTGATTGTCTCTCTCAGGGCTTGATGACTTCAGTCACCTGGATATACTCACTTGTTAGCCATAGTCCCTTTGCTGAACGGTTGCTCACATGCATCTGGATGTCCCCTAGGACAAGTCCCAGAGGACTTTTTTCTCTGTGTACAGAGTGAGGGCAGGAGTTACTGGACAGGATGTTCCCTGGGGGTGGGAGACAGAGCAGAGGGGATTCTGGGCCAGGCATACACAGATGCAGCCTCTCCCCACCTGGGCCCTGGAGCAGCCTCTGGGTGGCAGTCACATGCCCAGGTGGCTGCCAGGTTTTAGCTGGGATGGTTGATGTGCCCAAGGTGCAGAGGTCCTGATTTCCCAGAAGTGAGTAGCATTGGTTCTCAGACACAAATTTGACTGTGTCCAGGGCCAGAGACGTAGGTCACTGGCACAGTGCATGCCTGGCAAGCGCAAGGTGTTGAGTTTGATTCCTGGTACAAAAAAAGAAAAAGAAAAATTAAAAATGCAAATTGGACTGTGTCTAGCATCCTTTTCAATAAATACTTTTTAAAAAAGCCTAATGATTTACGTTTATTTTGTAGCCAGTTCTCCACCCCCAGGTATTCTTTCTGCAGCCCCATAGAGGACCCATGTTGAGGTCTTTCTCATAGCTCTGAATTGGAACCCTGAGTTCAGCTCCCAACCCTAGTAGCACCTTCACTGGAGAGGAACTGTGTCACTTTGGAGTGAGGCCTGGGCCGAGAACACATTGGGCACCTAGGTGTCCACCCCACTAGGAACTGAGGGGAGTCCTTTCTGTTTCAGTCAGCTCTCTGTTAGTTGGGCTTCAGAGTCTCTTTATCTAAGTATTGGGGTTTCAGGAATCTAGAGCCCAGTAGACCAATTATTTGGATTATCTTCAAGCCTGCACACTGTGGTCTCTGCACTTCTCTTGTGTGGCAGCTCAATACTGCCATGGAATCCTTGTTACCTGGGATCCTGGTCTCTACATTGAAATTTGGAGCTATTTCAACTCTGGTGTCTTCCATTGTAATCCCTGATCCATGGTGAACAGTGACTTTTGGAAAACTGAATCCCAGCGTATAAGAACTGGCTGTCAAAGGTCAAAGGTAGTGTAAGACCGAAGAAAGAGGTAGACAGGCCTAGGAGTGCACAATCTAAAATTCATTAAGAACATAACCAGCAGAAGTACGTCTTGGGGCAGGGTCCGCCCGGTGCTGGCTTCTAGGTGGCACAAGCACCGTGGGGTGGAGGATTGGTTTTGCAGATTATCGGTAAGTGGACGTGTTTGCTAAGGGGTCTGGCAAAGGGCACAGAGAGAGCCTGGGGCTGTCAAATCCCATTGCCTTCCACCCAGCATACCAGCAATGCCCAGCTTTCACCTGAAATCAGAGGGCCTTTTCAGTCACTTGCGAGCACCGTTCTGTCAGATACATTAAATGTTTGAGACAATGAAGACAGAAAATTTAAGTATCTTTCTGGCATTCATAATCAATTTTATCTATGTGGTCAAGGTGTTTTTTTTCCTCTGCAGAACCTCCACTTGTCTGTGCCTTTCCCCCTGCTGGACCAGGACTTATACACTGATGTATGTTATCTCCAAAATAAAAATAGGCCCAGGGAAAGAGAGCCTGCCTGTCACACTAAAGGCCCAGGTTTAACAGTGCAGGCCCATTCAGTTAATTTCTCTCCTTGTTGGTCTGGAAATTATTGCTACAACAAACAGGAATAGCTGGTCTAACAATCTCTCTCTCCTACTATTACTGCTTAACTCAAGTTCTACCTCAGAGCCTTGAGAAGACAACCAAGGCCACTGTTACCTTACAATCCCAAATTGGTTCTCTGACAGTATACATCTTCCTAGGAAAAAATGAAGCTAAAGGGCTACTGAAAGAGGCCTCAGAAATTAGGCCACATGAGTCTGACTCTTGGACTAATGTTGGGATGAACCTCATGGCTCCTTCCCTGAGCAGGACAGTTAGTCTGTATAACCCTCCTCCTCTTATTTGGATCCTGTTTATTCAGACTCCTGTGACAGTTCTTACCAGGTCCCTCTGAACATCACTAATCAGCAGTTGTTGCTTCCCACTGCTCCCACAAAACAGTTCCCCAAGGTATTTCTTCTCTCTGGTGTCCACTCAGCCCATGTACCACACAGGAAGCAGTTTCAACACCCACCTTCCTTTTTCTTCTTCTTTTTCCTTTTTGTTTATAATAACAAAAAGACGAGAATGATGTCACGATCACCTTGAGTGGGACTAGCACCCAACCCTTGTCAGTAGTGGCATTGTTCTCAGAAAAACGGAAAACAAAAAACCCCCAGCTTAGTACCAGTGATGTTGCCCTCAGTAAACACCAGAAAGGAGGTCATAAGGAAAAGATGGAACGCAGAATCTCCCAAGCACAGAACATCTGCAAACATCCACACATTTACAAGGAGTGCTTTGAGGACTTTGAAAACTTTGACCATGGATGTTCATTCAGATCTCCTTATCTGAAGCCCCTGACCACTTACCAGATACCTCGCTGGTCACCCAGACTGGCAGGAGAGCATCATGGGAAATAGGATTATATTGGCTAACGTGAATGGGTGCATAGAAGGTGATTCCACTCTGGAGGCAAGAAATAGCTGAGATGTAGCACTAACAGAATGGAAAAAAGAATACACAAAAAAAAGCACAAGAGAAATGGGTTGTCTGAGGTCTACCTCATATGTTGTGGACCTCACTGGGCCTCTTGAATTTGAGATTGTTTGAGAGGAATAAGAGAGATTATTTGTGATTCTCATGATGAAGGCTTAGGCAACCTGTGAGTCGGGCACAGCTTCAGTGGAGAGAGATGAATCCATTGAGGAGGGTGTCTCCTAGGCAGACAGCTGTCAGAGCCCTGCAGACAACCAGGAAGGATCTTCTCCACTTGGGTTGACTGGACTGAGAGTTTAAGTCTTTGATTAAAACCCATTTATTGGTTAAGCCATCCTCACACGGTTGAATGTTGGGAAAAGGCAGAAATTTAGCACTCCACCTTATGTCTTTTTGGACCTGCTGTAAGACAGGAACATGATCTCTAATGAGTTAGGTTCTGGGCCAAGATGTTAGACTGAGCAAGAAGGTACAGCTGTGTAAAAGCTCAAGTGGGCTGTGCCCCAAGGTTCCCTGGCATCCTGCCTTAGCTAGAGCTGTGCAGGTAGCCTTATAGGAATTCTCATCCATAAGCCAAGTGTGATGAGAGGTAGAGAAGGGGAAAACTGAAATATGAAGCAAGGGTGAGGTTGTCAGGTGAATGCGAGATGGACTGTTGTGTGAATCTGGCATCTCAGGAGACAGAGTGGGTAGAACAGGAGAGATAGGGTTAAAGTTAGCATCGAAGGCAATAGTTACCCTGGGAGTTTCTACAAAGAGTGCAGATGACTGTAAGTGATGAAGTGGGTAGAAGATGACAGAGGTGAGGAGGATATGAGACTCTGAAGGTTATGGGCCAGGGATATGGCTCAGTGGCACAGCACCTGCCTGGTAAGCATGAGGTCATGAGTTTGATTCCCACTACCAACACAAACAAACAAAAAAACAAACAGCCAAGATTCTGAAGTTTATGGAGGGGTCTAGCATGATTGATGCAGGTGTAGTAGTTTTTAGAGCTTCTGTAAGCATTATACACACAATGGCAGCTGCTCCTAGGCAGAGCAACCAACCCAAGACAGTGGGATCAAGTTGTTTGAACAGGAAAGCAACTGGGCATCTGCTTGACCCCCAGACTAGAATGTTAGTGTGGTAAAGCCAGAGCTAGAGCTGCTTTTAGAACTTTTTATAGAGTCTTTTAGAAGGGAGAGTGAGGAAAATCCCTGTGATCTAAAAGCTTTTGTGAGCTTTGGCTGGGGAGTTAGCTCAGCGGCATAAACGCCTGCCTTGCAAGTGTAGTTGCGAGTTCGATCCCTGGTACCAATTATTTATAAATAAATAAATAAATAAATAAAGGCTTTTGTGAGCTTATATAAGGGTTTGATAAGTAGGGTACAAAGCCAGTAACTTAGAAACAAAAGTATCCCATCACCCCAAGAAAAGAGAGAAGTTGTTGCTTTGTAGTGGGGATTGGAATCTGAGAAGTTAATTGGATATGATTGGGAGGAAGGGTTCAGGTGCATTCATGTAGGATAACATCCAGATAAGTGACAGAAGACATTTGAGCTTTGGATGGAGAAATGGTAGCCCTTTGTGTCTAAGAGCGGGGCGAGTATCCTGTGTGGAGAATTTGTAAGAAGGCCTGCGGAGAAGGAGATCATCTACACATCAGAGGAGGTGGGAAAAGGCCGGTGGAAGAGGAGCAAATCATCGGTGAAATAGGGCCGTCTTGGGAGCCCTGTAGGAAGGGCTCAGGTCAGCTGTTGGGACTGATGAATGTTAGGGTCCTCCCAGGTAAAGGTGAAGAGAGGCTTGAGGAGGAATGTAAGGGAGTAGTAAAGCAGCACCCTTTATATCCAAGACAGAATAATGAACAGTGGAGAGAGGGATGGAAGATAGCAGCATGCCTGGGTTAAGCACTGCTGAGTGGTTAACACCAAACGAGACCTGTGTTAATCAAACGATCTCTCTCTGTCTATCGGGCAAGTCTCTTTCTTTTTTCAAGTAAGCCTTTTTAGGCATGACTCCTAGAACCATGTTTGAGCCTCTCAGATCTTCTGTGTGTCAGCTGCCAGGATGGGTCATGGTGCTGCCTTACCATGTTTTTCTGTTAAAGGATGGGAGTCCTCCCAACTCCTTTGACGTAGTGTACATTTGTTGGTCTCTGTCCTCTGGGGTCCAGCAGTCTCCTTGCTGAGGAGATTGGGTCACTCACCGAGATTGCAGAATCCTGTAGAAAAGGTTCTTTCCCATCCTAGGTCTCTGCCAATCTTGGAGTGCAAGCGCCAAAATATTGGCTGTTTTTGTTTGTTTGTTTGTTCCCTGGTTACCTCTCTAGTTCTGGTCTCTAAACTTTAATTGCTGAACACGCAGAAGAGATCAGTGATCTTACTTAGCATATGTAATTCACAAGTGTAAACTGTTTTTTGATAGCGGTTGTACCCTGTTAAAGGCAAAGACTTGTTTGAAACTGTGTTAATTTAATATCTTGGAGAGAAGCGTGGTCTTTAATCAAGGAGTTTAAAGTTAACTTTTGGCATGTTGGAGAAAAACTGGGATTTCTACCTTACTAGTAGGGAGAGAGAAGTCCAGATTTATAGCTCAACTCTGGATGGAGGCTTAAGAAAGAGCTCTAACAGCATTGTTTCAGGTCACTCAGATAGAGGATAGCTGATGATCACCTCACTGAAGGAGTGCAGCTGGAAATGATATGCAAGTGGAGATTCTCAGTTGATTCCCCATAAGAGCTGCCAGGAGCTGGCTTCCCCTGAGG